ACCCTAAACTCCACGGCAAGAAATATAAAGCAACGTCTTAAGCTGTGCGCGACCTTAAAAAAGCTAAGAATCAACCAAGCAGTCAATCCGATTACATTTACATATGCCGAGATCGTGAGTCTTAACTCATAGGTAATATACAAGAAGACGCATCAGTAAGGGGGCATATGAAGTCTTTAAGAAAGTACTGAACTGTAAATAACGTGGAAAGTCACTGAACCGCGAGGTATCAAATCGCGACGGTGACATTTTCAGCGTCTACTGCGTGTCACTTCATCAAATTATGACGACAGTTTGTAAGTGGAAACTCACAGCAGTTGCAATGAACAGCATCGCTCCTCTTTGCCTCACGGTTGAAGATCACAGGTCGATTTTCAGCAATCGATCGACTTACACGTGTGGTCCGCTACTCCGAGTGAATCCATTAACACAAACTTGGGAGCACAAATACAGGCTTTAATGTACCACAAAAACAGCTTCAAGAAACAATAGCAACGCCTATGATTTGTTACAGGTGTCGGCAACGCGAGGACCGCGGGCGCACTTGTGGCCCCGACAACATATTTGACCCACAAAAGTCAAAGGACCTCAATAAAATATTTTAACGAAACAAAAATTGTGTAGATGCAGGCCTATAACGTTAAATTAATCATTCAATTAATAGAGAATTACCATTACCAAAAAAAAAAAAAAAATGGACAAAGACTTTTGTGGAGACTTTACGAACGCTAGAAAGAGGCCATAATAGGCCACTGGGTCTAAGCCATGGAAAGCTGATGATGTGGGTACCAAATGGACCACAAGAATAAATAAGACTTGTTTCAACTTCAAAGTTTTGCGTACAGGCTGACGCATGTAATAAGAAAAATAATAAACCCATTAAACTAGAAAGAAATATGTAACTTGTCAAACGTAACAACGCAAACAGATCCTATACGGCTAGACGCAGTGCTTCCATCTCGTAACCTACAAACGAACTTATGTACTGTAGAAGGATGTACACCGTCTTAACAGAAGACGAACTTTACGTTAATCAGATGTGTTTATAACGATCAAAATGCAGAACACTTATCTCTTTAAAGTCCACAAACTCACAAAATCCTGTGGGAATGTGAGATGGATGGCGCGTAAGCTGCGTTAAGTTAGAATGGAACAAATCGACTTATAATTTAAAATTGCTACTGCACTATGAACATAAAAGATCTAACATTCTAAGAAATCCATGATACATGAACATCAGGAGGTTTACATCCAAATGGAAACGAGACTCGCCGTATTCAATGTCTGAACAAAATCCCGACAGACTGAATGTCGACATTACTTCCACGTATCTGTTGTCATAAACCGTCTACTGAATTCAACATTAAAAAAAACAAAATACTACAACTAGTTCGTACTTAAATAAGATTATTCACCTGCATCAACACATACATGTCTGGATCCACCATGTTATAGTTCAAATAACTGTCATATTCTCAGACACGCCCAGTTCCGGGAGTTTCCAAAAGGTAAAGCTGCCCCGAGTGAAGAATTCAGTACTCCAAGGAAGAGTATTGCCAAATTATAGGATTTTTTTTCCACTTTAAACATTTCACATTCTGTGTACACACTAATGCAAGTTACGAAAAAAATTATAAATAGTAAACACATTAAAACGAGAAAGGAATTTGAACGAAACTAAATTTCTACTGATTTAAATAAAACGTAGACCGTATAAGACTACAAATGCCGGGGTTATTTTCTACGAATCCACTGCACTATAAACATATGAGATCTAAAATCCGAAGAAATCCATGGCATGTAAACATCGAGAGAATAGCAATTCTTACTACATGTACTGTCCACCGGCGACGAGAAAATCGCTGCGACAGGATGTTGGGCCTGGTGCGGTGAAGGGGAGAGTGTTTACTATCAGGTGGACTAGAGGGCTGCTATTGGTGGGGAGTACGACACGCTAGAGAGATACACTACTACATACAGACTGAAAAACATTAAGCAGTTAAGAGTAGCGTGTAGTGAGTACACCTGTACTGTGTTCTGAGGGGTGTTGTGATAATATTCTAGATTAGATCACTGTGCCACTGTGAGGTAATCTTACAGCTAAACCCATTAGAACACACGAAAGCCTGGTTGTTCATTCAGTGGTTGTGGATCTAATGCTTTTAGGATGGCTAGTAGCAACTCATCACTCGCCGCGAAATCTTGTGCATGCTCGTATATCGAATTCCTAGCAGGGATTTTCTCTTGGTCGGTAGACAGTAGATGGAAACAAAAAATAGTTTCTTGCAACTCACCGTGATGGATGTCTTAAATTTCGTCCACGAGCCACAACGCTGATTGACACAAACCTCCGCCAGATAGAACGTCGTCATTACTTCCACATATTCGATTGTCACATCCGCTTATTGAATTTAATATTCACAAAATAAATACCACCACTGGATTGCCATAAAATACTAATAATCACTTGCAAGAACGTTCACTAATCCGCAGCCACCGTGTAATAATTCAAACTGTCAGCTGCTCTGACAAATGTCCACTTCCGGGAGAAAGGAAAAACTGCCTTACAGAACGATATATCGTTGCCCTTGCAGAAGAAAATCAGTAGTCTGTGGATGAGAGCGCTGTGTGAGGTCGACGAAACATTAGTGACGGAAGGGAAATTAATGCCAGTTCAACACATAAATCTAATGCCTACAATTTATGCAATGTATGCAGTCTTTGTTAGCTTTACTTTTATCTGTAAATGAAAGAAGAAAATATTGTTTAAATATTTAAACCTGAGAACAATAACTATTAAACCACTGTAGCTGGGGGGAAATTTCATGCTAACCTACAGACATTGACATGACGTATTTCCTGTGAGTTTAAGCAACACAAAAACAACAGAGTTTTGAGGTGTTGTCACGATAAGTGATGACCTATCAAATTAGTAAAATTAAGATTATATGCATATTTAACGATATTATAATCTGCACTTTTCTGTAGCTGATCCGTGCATAAGAAGCAGAACACTTTCTGAATCCGGTTTTAAGAACTACCTAAATTAGTTTAATTTGTTGGCACTGCCGATAAGCGATGAGACCACTTTCCATGGTACTTTGATAATTACGTATAACTCGATAACATATTTTGTTAATGCGTGTTGCATAATTTCATTAATGACACTGCAAATTCAATGTAAAATACAAGAAATGGCTTCACCAAGATTTAGGCCTATACATATTAATTCTTCGTGGTTTATATCCATACAGAATTATAAGCACAAATATTGTTTCTGCAAATTCGTAATAACTATTCTTACACTAAATTGCTATGTATAAGAAGCATTGTAAATAACTGCTTCTTTTTCATATTCTCCTTCTCTTTCCCATCATTTGTAAGGTTGCATATCAGTAAAGAGGCTTCCCATAATTGCAATCTAGTGTATAGTTACAGCTTTATATATAGGCAAAACAGTAAGAGGGTTACTTCCACATGTGGCTTACTGTCAGACATGTTTAATACTATTAACTCTCAGTTCACAACCATCCTTTTTGCAGATGATATTAATATAATCTGACATCCAGAAATATACTGTTCCTAACTTTGCATGAATGAGTTTCTGCTAGCTTGAACAAATGGAAGAGCCAATAACCTCACATTTAATTTTGGCAAAACAGATTTCATTTTGTACTACCAACAAAAATTGTGTTAATCTAGGTGTAGAGTATGAGGATAAAACAATTGAAGTGAAAACAAATAAATTTCTTGGCCTACAAGACACAGATAACCTCCATGTCCCAAACACTAAACTCGGTACATATCAAAAAGGAGTCTATTATACTGCAATAATGTTCCCCTCACTATAAAAAGTCTGAATCAAGATATAAAAATGTTTGTCAGTACTGAAAGAGTATCTAGTACCTCACTCCTACTCCACCGAAGAATTTACCTCAATAAAAACTACTCAGCTATTATTTTTGTAATACTGCAGTTGTATTAGGAACAAGTACTGTATTTGCGCTACATGCCCAGCCCATCTCATTCTTCTCGACTTAATCACCCTGACAATACTGGGGGAGCAGTACAGATTTTTAAGCTCCAGACACCATCGTCTTCCCTCTTAGGCCCAAATATCCTCCTCAACACCCTGTTCTCAAACACCTGCAATCTGTGTTCCTCCCTTTGAGTGAGAGATCACGTTTCGCACCCATACAAAACAACAGGCAAAATTATTGTTTTGTATACTTTAATTTTCAGGTTCTTGGAAATCAGACGGGAAGACAAAATATTCTGAACTGAGAAGTAGCAAGCATTTCCAGAATTTAGTCTCCTACTAACTTCCTCACGAGTAACATTTTGATTTGTTTCTGTCGTTCCCAAATATTTGAACTTTGTAACACTTTCAAAGGATTACAATAATATACACATATAAATAACATTTCCTCTTTAGTTACGATAAATAACAGCTTATGAGGTATGTTAATGATCAAGATGTATAATTACTAAAAATAAAACCAACAGTAAAAGTAGAAGAGTCAGTAGCAGTAGTACCACGGTTACTAATTATAAAGTAATTAAATAATAACAGTAATAAACAGCGGGAACCTAGTCCCTGGTACCTTCAAGATAGCCGAGGTCTGTTAAGAACCCCAAAAAATTAATTGCTAATACGACCATGGTGAAGTTTGTAATTGGTAGTGGACTGTGATACCACTTTCAAGAAATGACCTTGGAAAGACATGGAAGAGGACCCAACAGTCTTAAAGAATGGAGTTTTCCTTCAGCACTTCTTAAATGTCTCGTCTTTGTTGCCATAAATCCATCTGCCACGTCCCAGGTTTCCGTTATGTACGTTACAGGCACGTAGTAATAGTTTCCTCTTCTTAGACAATTCTCATTTTTACTGAATACCCCACACTAATTACTAAAACTTCCCTGGATTTTTTAATTCCAAAAAAAGTTGAGAAACGCTGATCAAGGACATCTCCGTGCGGCAGGATACGGAAAGCAACGAAAAAGTACAAACAAATTTATTCATTGTATCAGAATTACTGACAATCAATCAATTATATTTTTTAACACCGCATACAATATTTTATGCAAGTCGTAATACTTAATAACTCCACCATTGAACTGATTATAAAATTGGTTTTTGATGTGAGACGTACCTACGGCCAAAGAATTATGGGATATTAGCAAGGTAATCTTTTACATTGGATGGATCAAGTCTCCTGAAACCTTGAGCATCGCAGATTCCCACCTCAATATTATCTGCCGTCATCTGGCCTTCAAATCCTTCTTTCAAAGTCAGAATTGCAGTGTGAACGGCATCATCCAGTTCTAAATCTTCGCTGTACCTGCAACATTAATTTGAATGACAGATTCTTATACTGTATTTTTGATGTGGTGATGCCCACATCAAAATATCAAGGATTTCACACTGGTAAATACAAATAAATTATTAATAGTTCATGACATATGTAATTAGGATAAAATATAGACCCACCTTTTTTCAAGAAATGTCTTGCCATTGACAAAGTTCTTTCCCATGGCCGTTGCTTTCCACGCGAAGTATGCTCCAGACGGATCACACTGATACAGGTACGGCCTTCCCTCATCCCAACCACATATCAGTAAGGACACTCCGAATGGCCTCACGCCACTAAAATGTAAAGTGCAGGAAATACTGAAAGCTAATCAGCAATGCTCTGCCAATTTTTTAAGAGAAATATATAAAGAAAAAAGTTGTATTAAGTATCAAAGATGATCAATGCTTAACCTACCCTACAATATTTCTTACACTACAAATAATACGCATTAAAATATCCGAAAACAAATTGAACCACGTGAATCATAAACTATGTTCTGAAAAAGAAATTGGATTTGAAAATCTACTGTTTACTGCTATAAAACAACGTATGACATTTATCTCCCTGTGTCTTTCTCTTCCTCTACTCTTTCTTCTGTGGATCCTCCTTTCATTCTCCCCACCTTATCCCACACACAAAGCAACAATTTAAAATGGTCTGTTCCACATTCATACCCAGACTGGGTGTATTCCTGCATCACCATGGCAACACGCTGCACCAACTGTGCTGTTGGGATAGGCTCCTCATAAACTAAGTAGTACTGCTGTGCCATTTTTCTCGCCCTCTTCACTAGAAGACGATAATCTGGCCCCATACCTGCACAAGTGATTCATTATGAAACAGGTACTGACGTAATAATTATATTGCAACAAGGACATTGGTTAAACAATACCCGAGGAATCTCTCGGAAAATCAAACAACAACAAAAATTGGTATTTTCACTAACATGCATGACTGTGCAGTCAAAGTTCAGATTCCCCTTTTATTATGAATCATTCCTTTGGGATTTATTCATATAAATTATAAAATTTACTATTCAAAACCTGAATTCTCCTTCCATCGTCACATAAAAGGACAGACGACAGAAAACCCAGTCTCAGTCCGCGGCTAACTCAACCAGGAGACTCGAGAGACGGGTTTTCTGTCCTCCTTTCCCCTTTTTAAGTGACAATGGAAGGAGACTCCGGCTTATGTAATGTCCAGTGGAATGATTCAAGCACATTCATCAGAAACCTTTAAACTCTGATTCTCCCTTTAGCTCCAAAATTCTATACTCACCGCTGTATATCATTCCTATGTGATTTGTAACCATCTCAACCTTGTGAACACTGTGTTCTTCGTAGAGAATCGACTTGTGTTTGTTCTCTGTAGCAAGCACAACTCCATTTGAGGCTACAAAATAAACATGGGAGTCACTGCCAGAGTTAATATTTGGAAAAGCCTGAAAAAACTCCTCACGAAGTACCTTGGCCTTCATTACAAATAAAAGTTAAAAATTAGATCTCACAACCTTTTATCCAAGCATCTGCAATTTGAGTACAGCACAGTTTCAGTTTAAGCTTTGTAACGATAATTATAACACATACAAATACAAAAAACAAACATGTATTAAAATCTGTACAGACAATTCACGATTTAAGCAGGATTCACTTTTGCAAAATGTTACATAAGTCAAATTTTACACATGTAAGAAAAATCATAAGCACGCAAATTTATCCCAATATATACTCTAATGGAACTCTACAAGACATAAAATAACTTAACATTAATTCACACTGGTACCATAGCTTGTTAAAAAGATACATGCATTTAAAAACACAAAATAAATAGTTAGAAATTTATTTTCAAAAGTTTTAACACAATCAGATTTGCAACTCCTGTGTAACCTGGAAAAGACCTATATAGGTAAAATGTAACTATTCAAGTGCAATGTACTTCCTATCAGAATAATTGTCATTTACTAGCACAGAGTTAATTGTGAGACAGGGAGCAACTAATCTTACATTATATTCTGCTTAAATATTATAAATATACCTTTGATTCCAACAGATGGAGCTCCAGCTGCAACTGCTGCCAAAGCATATTCAATCTGTACCAACTTCCCCGAAGGACTGCAAATCATCAATATAAAATCACCTTATTGGTGCAAAGTTTTATAAAATCAGTCTAAAATGTTTATATAAATACACAAAAATTATTTTACAATTCAACAAGACAAGTGACCGTTATTTCAGCGGAAGAATTATCATGATGGGAGTTGAATCAATCAGCAAAAGCCAGTTTTCAATACTTGTACCATCCATTTTCTGTACCAGCTATCACAACCGAACATAATTAATTTGGGACAATAAAATGTTCTCCGCAGCAGTTTAATTTTGGTCCAGGCTACAGAGGCCAGAGCTTTTTATTATAATTCTGAACAATTTAAAATAAAGCCAATCATGGGAGTTCAATATGTCTAATTGCATGTGTTGAAATGAGGTTAGGTTTGTTAGAAATATTGTCTGTGTAACTTCTTTATGTTTCAAATTACAATATAAAATGTAGCAATTCTGAAAATTCACACAGCATATGAATGATTTTACAATATTAAAAACTACGATAACACTAAACTGGAATAGGTACTTAACCCTCTTGCATTAGTCTATGTTTATGACTTAATATAATAACTTTTAATTGTAGTATTTGGAAGCAATCGCTTAAATTCATATGAGAAGTCGCTATGAAAATACGTACCTGAATGTTGTTAATGAAAAACTATACCGTTCTGTTGCCATGATTACAAAGCAGAGTTCAGGATTTGGAACTTCAAAACTTCAACTCACTGTCTTACTCCCGATAGATAGCACCATCAATTAAGCTGCTAGTAGAGTCATCTACGCAGAGTTGTAAGCAACTACAAAATACATCTGCGATCGTAGTACCTGAATCGAACTGCTAAACTAGCGATGGGTTGCCTATGAGAAACTGCAAACTTCTTCCCTATTGGTGAATTGTTGTGTGCTATTGCTTCTGCTAATACAATTCATTTCATTGCTGTTATTGTTCAATGAACTTAAGATCTATTTAAACAAAGCAAGACTTTATCGTTTTGATATTATATTTTCATAGTTCATTTGGCAAGATAAATGTCTACTGCACCAGATTCAAGGGCGTCACCGATGTCTGATGTCCCTGCTGAAAGCGGGTTTACGACTTTGTCTTTGCGGGACAAAGCTTTGATTAAGAGAAATATTAATAGACACCACAATAGTAATTTCAGGTTCGTATAAAGTAGGTCGTGTGCAAACCTCACGGTTCTTTTTACATTCCAGATTAAATACAGCTTCAGAAATTTGTATTTTTACTTTTGTATTTTCCTAACCAGCGTTAATTTCATCTTCGTACGTTGTATTCTGTTGTAGGGCTGGCTATGTCCCTGTCCATGAGCAGTCACTCCACAAAACTGGATTGCGAGGCAGAAAGACGTATGCCTTCTGGACACTGGTAATGCTTCTCTTTTTTCTTGCCCTTGGAAATTTGCTGCTTACCTTCATTATCTTGGGTGTTCTTCGTCTTGGCCAGGGCATGGAAAGTCTTGAACTTGTACCAGAAAAGTCACTTGTTATGTTTTATGGAAATACAGACTTGGACAGGATATACAAACGTGATGGCAAATTGGAAGGTTTCAATGAATGTCCTGTGGAAATTACAGGTGACAATGGTTCAGTTTCTGTTAATCTTGTGGACAAAGAAGGTCGGATGACTGAATCCAAGATAAATCTCAATCTCAACAGCACAGCAATAACTGGTGTTAATTCTTTTGATGTACGTGATCCTGAGACTGGACATCCCGTATTCTCAACGGACTTCCCTAACTTTGGTCTTCCTCGTGGCGTGAAGAAACTCGATATCAGAATGGCACAGACTCGAAGAATAACGAGTCCCATAAACTCTAGTCTCTTCCTTCGTTCAGACACTTACACTCGACTTCGTGGTACTGAAGGCACGCGTATGGAAGGTCGGGAAATTGTGTGGTCAGCTGATCAAGATATTTATCTCAAAAGTGTTAATGGAAGTGTTATTCTGAGTGGACGTGAAGGTATTTCTGTTGATATTAAAAGCATCCCAGTTGCATTAGGTGATAGTGATGGAGCAAATCCGACTTCAGTGCAGTATAAAGTGTGTGTGTGCATGCCTGAAGGCAAACTATTCCGCGTCCCTGTTCCATCTAGCGGGAATAACAAGCATGTAGGATGTCACAACGTTAATCTGTCACCTCAAACCAGTCCGTGCATGTAACAATCCAGAGCTCCAAATCTGCTATAGAATACGTAGTCACAGTAAATGTTTTCTTGTTCGTGTAAATGACATCTAGAAGAGGCTTCCATTGAGACCAAAAATTTGTTGTATTTGTCTAATATTATTTCACCGTGTGGTGGTTAATAACTTCTGGAAAGAACTTTGATGGCTTTTTCCTCTGAATGCTTCAGTCTATATGACGATGGTAGCAATAACTAAATAAATATGCAGTTTAGTGAACTATTTATGTGTATCCGGTAGCACTGATGCCAACAGCATTACATGTTCTTGATATAACACCAACATTTCAGTTACCATATCTGTATAAAAAAAAATTACACGTTCTTGATCTCCATATCTAATTTTACATTTATCACCGTCGCTAAAATCTAAATATAGCCTTCACTTAGCTGCCATGTTCTTTCAGGTTCTACAAAATAACACCTTAACAATTAGTTGCATATTTTATGACCTCTTACTACGCTTTCAGAATATCAGCCATATTTTGTTTTATGGAACAAAAAATGTCTAACTCTCGAGACGTAGACAAAATATTATTCTTCAGTTCCATTATGGAATACAAGCTCCAAATTTCATAACAGTACATCTTATCACACTGCGATGGCTTACTTTATTACTGCTTCATCTATAATGAATTAAAATTGAACCACTTTCACCATTTATTCACACTAAATGTAAAATGTAGAATGGTACTGTGATTTTAGAACAGCTACAACCTTACGTCCCATTTAGCTGCAATTTTGCTTTTTAGAAATGGCATATAACAATCCTGAAATTTCCCTTTGAAGTTTCCCACCGTCTCCTCGAAGGACTGAATGCCAGACGTGAGCTTATCTCCCGTACGAAAATCAAGCCATCTACTGGATTACATGCACAGATTTGCCTGTACATTTGTATTTTTATTAAATATCAATTTATGTTTCTATTGTAACACAGAAGTATGTACCAAGAGAACAAAATGCATGATCATGCCCATTATGTAGTATTTAATGCACGGTGTTTTATATGCATTATGTATCAGTATTGTTCTGTCACAAATAAAAATGTAATATTAATCCAGGGGCGAATGATTACTTTTTCATCCCACATTTTATTTGGAAGATTTTTGGGAACACAAATTACGCATGACATTTGTTTGTAACTGAATGGATACTGTCTTGTGATAAATTAATGCGCTCGACTGATATTAAATTCTTTTCGCAATGATTTGATTAAAATACATGCTGCTAGAACCTCACGTAATGGTACCTGCACCTTGTCATGGTGGTGGGGCTCGAGTACCTCAGTGACCCCAAAAGCTACTGGTAGGGCCTCCCTAGCCAGACTGTTCGAGGGGGAGAGGTCAGACTAAGACAGGTACCCTGGTCCTCCAGGTTGGGGGTTGGTCGCAAGGCTAACAACTTTGCACCGTAAAAAGGAAGATGTTTCAAAACCCCGATCAAAGCCTCAGACAGACGGATCTGTCAGAGGAGAATTGAGGAGGTCATGGACCGAATACAGACCGGAGAGCCATAGAAGAAGAAGAAGAAGAATAAGAAGATGATGATGCCAGAAAGAATCTGCTTTTAAATGCTTACAGTAAAGAAAATAATTAACTTAGGTGATGAACATTTTAAGGATTGTGTGAATTATTACAAGTACTTTAACCAAAGATTAAATTGTCAAATAATTTATATAAAGATACGTCTTTTTGACAACTTTAACCGGGAGACCACGTTTACCTACAGAACGGCTCACAATCTTCACTCTATGTGGTGTTATATTCAAGGTCATCAAGTTAACTTAACACAGAACTTCAAGGAACTGCGTTAAAAGTCGCAAATGTCCCCATTTCAGAAGTTTGCAAGACAACCTTGTATGATGCGCATACTTTTCCTGTTGTAACAGTCTGTAAAAGAACCATGCTAACATTGTAGATAACAGGCAACTGAAAAAAGAAGGAAAAAAACTCATGGATTGAACTCCAATGATTAGAAAATTTAGAAAATCAGGTAACATTTGAAGAAGGAATTATAAGGTTCCTTTGGAACCATAAATATGGAATATTGTCACATACATCTTCTATTTCTACTGACACAAAACTGCTTGAACTACACACAAGAATTATGACAATACACAAACGGGCCATCACTTCACAGTAAAAAACAATATGTTCATGATTCAAGTCAAGTCACAAGCAAATATAATCTATGATGCGAAACAAATACCATACTTCACAATGGAAATGTCTTTCCCTGCAAGCAGCGGTAACCCGAGAAACATCCTGAATTGCTGTACCTAGTTATCAGCTGTTTCCATAGCTTCATCTCCGGCTCCGTCAGCCTCCATATCATCTTCATCGCCATCTTTCTTTTCTGGAGGCTTTTCATATGCTTTATCGAGAGGAGAAACTACGACTCCTTCCCATACTGACATCTCAGTGGCAATTCCTGAAACAAAATTGAGCCCAAATTAAAACAGAGGCAATTAATGCCAGTTGGGATACTGGGAACGACCCGTTATTCAAGTGCCTGAGCACTGCGGGTCCCAACTTCTCGTTGGCTCGATCTATAGACATTCGGTAGGGCTCCTTGGACGAGGGATCGGCTCAGCGCAAGGCCTCTACCTGTACACATGACAGACATCATGGCTTGAGTGGGATTCGAACCCACGGTCCCAGCAGCACAAGGCCCGCGCGGCCACTGCGGACCCCTAATTAATGCCAACATACATTAATTTTTACAAACACTTCTCAGCCTCAACTTGCACGAATCAGATAATTAACACTGACACTGCATATCACGTAAGACTGCTTATTTCCTTCCAACTGGGTAAAGAAAATGGGGGAAGTACATCTCTATGGACATAAAAGTATTAATAACTTACCCATCCTAGTTATACATAACAATATTCGGTACTTTTGGGTTATCTCGGGGCACGTCGCTTTAAAAATAGGTTAGGTTAGTAGTCATTTATTGAAATAAAATATAATAACTTTCAAGTATAAGTACCCAATATTTTATACCTTCTTGGGTATCCAATGATTATACATGTTACCACATAAACTGCGATCAGACACTGAATGAATGTGTGAATAAACATACATACCTGCATGCCCTTCAAGACCCAGGATACGTCTGTATCCACCGTGAGCTAGGACTCGTAGCAGAGTCTGAGCTGTCAGACAGACCATGTCCTGCTGTTCCAGGCTCATGGCCGTGTGAACTCTGATGTTTCCTCCCTCACACGGATCTGAGATACCTGTCACAGCAGTGAATCAATTTACCCCAATCTTACAACAGCCTTCGCTCAAGAATTTTTTCTGAGATGTGCTTAAATACGTTATTTAGAGAAATAAAATGGGACTTAAAACAGTCAAAAGTGATAGAAAATTACACATAACACTTGCATAATACAAGGACCACATACTAAATTTAACAAAAATCTGTCAGGGCACTCAAAAGACGTACACAAAATTCAATACGTCCTCATACGTATTCCATAAAAATGAGCCAAACTAAACAAATATCTACGTGGCTTGACGAGGGTTTAGTATAACTGAATATATCAAACCCGTCTCACAGTCTGAGCACCGTTACTTGCAAACAGGCAGAGACGACAAAACTGACGGGAACATTTTCACTCCTTTTTTTTTTAAAAAATGAACCAAAAAAAAGGAGCACTTGTAGATTTATAATTTATGCTCCCTTTTCTAATTATATGATCCTGTAAATGAATTCCAATAGAGGGGCACTACTACATACCAGCAGACCCAGGAAGAAAGAGACCGGCTGCCAGAAGCTGTAACACGCGCCGATAAGCCTGATTGATAGGCAGCGTCTGACGACTAGGGTTGTTCATAATAGAACTGTGGGCCTGTAGATAAAATAAAAAACCTTAGGTTATAAAGGAATTTGGTACTACTTTCATTTCTTCAGTCAAATATTACTGGTGAACAATTTCATGTTACATTTTATGGTACTTGTGGGTTATCGGGACACAAAACAGAGAGGCACGGCCCGACATCATCTGGATTCATATGTAGCTGAGTTCATGTGGCGGCGTACGAATGATAATGGCGATATTTTTAAAACGATTTTAAAATCTATTAGTAAATTTTGGCCTCCGGCGACAGGTTGTAACAACAATTAACATCTCATGCATATCCAAATAAAATATAATAATTTGTAATTTATTGAAATAAAATATAACAACTTTCAAGTATATGTCATTTAACCACACACATTAACCTAACCTAACCTATTTTTAAAGCGATGTCTCCCGATAACCCACAAGTACCCATTTTATTGATACTATGGTTTTACAAGATGAAGCTATATTCTGAACTGTACATTGAACATTTCTGAAGTAACACAAAGGAATAGTACTTATCGTTAAAATATGGATAAACATACGAGCAGATCCAGCATCCAAGGTGATAGAGGCTCAAAACCTTCAAATCTGTTTCTAAGATCACGAAGAAGTCGAATCAGCACTTTGATTGACGAATGATGGGCATTTTCTTCAAACCAACGGCTTAATGTGAACGAAAGAAAAATTTTACGATTACAATAAGTTAGGGCTACATGTAAATTGGTTTGTATACAAATAGTCATGTGATGAGATCTCAGTATTTAATGCTGTTGGAAATCTGGATTGTGGCCTTCTGGGTTATGACACGCACAGCCTCAAAAACCATCTTTACTTCTATTTTATTAATTATTCACCACATCAAAAATGTTTGAATCAACAGGCATACATGTTAATGAGATTAACATTCAATGAAATGTACTAATTTTTGCATTGCAGGTCCTATTTTGATTGAAAAGATAAAGTTTGATTCATTTATAGAAAAAGTTTAATGAACTAATATGATCCAAGAGTTGCCAGAAAGCTTTGAGACTAGACCCCCACAATCTTGTTTACAAAAAAAAATCTGTACAGTATTTTCAGAGATAAAATGTTCAAAAAAGATTCTCAAACTCAGCCTCCCCTACGTGCATTCACCCTGAGTACGTACTGCACAAGAGCTAACCTGTGTCTAATGGCCGCCAGATGACTCTGGAGGATCTTCTGGTCAAGATGCAGCTCTGGGTCAAGCTTTCGAAAGTTATGGTGAACTGTCGTCATTAGTATACGCACTGTGGCATCTGAACTGCTCACCTCAAACCCTCGATCATTTGTCAGCATTGATAAAACTGCATACAAAACAATACCAACACCAGTCCAAAAATACGATTATATGACACACTTTTCTTTTTTCATCCCCATACCACGATCAGCCTTCATCGGTGGTGATTAGGCACAGGAAAAACATTAAAATTTTTCTCCAATGATATATAGAAAAAGAGTGGTTACTTCTAACACTGAATTTCTCATAAACAATATCAAAGTTCTGCATTGCCTCTACATTTATAACTGTCAGCAACGTATTAAACAAAATTTTGTAGGTATGTTTACGGTGCATCTCCACACAAAATTTACCATAACAAAATTGTATACTATTAATAGCAATTCAAATTACAAAAGCTGAAAACCCTACAAGTGGTGATAGTGTCACTCCCGTTGCTTCACAAAATAATGGAAAGTACCTATAATATTAAGATAAAAGGTAAATTTATCTCATGCCATTAAGACAAACAGCAGAATGGAGGTAAAGCTACACATTGTTCACTGCAGAACTAGATGGTGGTGATTGATCAACTGTGTGCCCTGCTGTAGACTCCGGTGAACAAACCCCTGGTATGCATTGGTAAGTTCAGGTGGGCTCAGCCTCAGGACATAGTGATATGGACAAAAGTCTCTTCCTCTGCCAAGAATCAAATCACACTCATACATCCCATACCTTGTCACTATACTGATTGAGCTATCCCAACTCTCCTATCGTTAAGACTTAAGGTACTTGTTCTAATCACGTTTTCAATTACCTTCATGGGGATCTTGGACCTTCAGATCCTCATGCACCTTAATACCGAGTGCTTCCACTGCTTCCCTGGTTGGTAGTGTCTTGAGTATTACTACTATGTCTGCTACATTATGTCCAGTCATCATTGTACCCTTCTTGAATGAGCCAACTTGTCGAACTTCTTCCAGTTGCTAAAAATATTAAAGAAAGAACCTCTATGTCCATAATGGGTCTCATTCAAAATGAAAATGAGACTTCCTGAAATATATAACACTGAGGAACTTTGTAATTAGTTTTTCCGAAATCAATAACAAAGTGGTTTTCTTATCCAGTTTGGTTTGAGGTGGTGTTTCTGGTTAGTAACACACCAGAACTTATGCTGACAACAGGAAGCCAACATGATATTGCTTTCTGGCCACTGTTTGCTGATTTATAATCCATATATATCCTATGTACTAATCATTACCACCAACTGACTTCACTTTACTTACACAAGCATCAAAGGTCCCAGGAGCAACAACCAGGTTGTCCATAACAGCCTGAATTTTAGTAACCAAATTCAGAACTGAAGTTTGCTCATGAGGAGATGGCGACAGGTCTGTGTTCCTCTTCAAAAGGGCCTGTTTAGGACAAAGCATGTAATATTTTTTGAAGTCATAGATTTCTATGAAATAAACCAACTTGCTAGTGTATGTTAATAATTACAATATATAAAGCAATTACCTGGGTGAAGGCAGACTCATCTGGCAAAGATTTAACTCTAGGAAATGCAGACTCACAAAGTGCAAGATCAAATGGATGTCGAGGAACAAATGGTTTCACTTTAAATGGTCCAGGTCGTCCCATTCCTCTTCCCATACCACCACGCCCTCTTCCTCGAACCATATTATTTATTACCTAGTGAATTAAAAGAATACTATTGATTAACGTAACCCAACGAATGAGACACCTTAACCTTGACAAGTTATTCTCTTACTTTCGCCCCAAGTTGTTTTGGTTATCATTTCTACACACAATACAATCGAAAACTACTTATAATACTTACCAGCTAAACAATGTAAAGTACTACATACATACTCATATAATATACCAATTACATATTTATATATAAAAATCAAGCCGGTTTTCAGCGTGCACACTTACAATTACGGCGTCTATTACGGTCGTTCACAGCCTTCTATTTCGTTTCCTTGCCACATTTTCCAAACGTGCTGCCTTCATGAATAACAGCAAAATGCACAGTGCCCTCTTCACTATTATTGCAAATAATAGCAAATGGAATGTTCAATATTTGTATATACTAGAAGTTTGGAACACAATATATATTTAAATCGTTTAGAACTCTTTTTTCCAATTCCGTTTGTCTTTCCAGTTTAAGTCGTCTTTTTTACACTACATAGAAATAATAAAATGAGGGTGTTTGGAAACGAAGTACAGACGAAATATTTGGATGCAAAGCAGAGAGTAATGAAAAGAACTCCACATAATTTCAAATCTTTACCAAACAGGCTTATTATTAAGCTGATTTGCTGACGAAGCGACGGACGAGACAAATGATGCATATGCCTTCACGATTTTGGTCAGAGAACTTAGTGGATGGTAAACCCATTACCAACCACTTCTGATCCACCACCACACACCATCCGACGACCCACCACTCACAAATCAACTACTTACTCTATTCCAGGCATTTACGTAGCCGTTAAAATGGGTTTGTATGAAGGCATCTATATATCCATTAGAATGGGCTGTAGTGGAGGCCTCTGTATATCTATTATATTTAGAAGCTATATGTCTATTGCTGTAAGAAGGAATTCTATTGGATCAGTATCAAAGCATCAATGAAGGCCTGTTTGCCATTATAATGGATTATTATGAAGGCCTCTATATATTGACAATACGGGCTGATAAAAGATGCTTCTATTTTGCCACTAATGTAGGCAGGGACAGATGAGTTTGTATAACCAATATTGCAGATATGGCAGACTCTTATTCTTGTCATAATATATGCTCCCATTATTATCCTAAACACTGTAGTAATTTGTAAAGAGGTCTCTATACCTCCGTTTTAAAAATGAGTTTTGGAAGTGTGTGTAGACAGTGCTGTTTATGGCACATGCTGTATAAGAATATCCTAGTCTGAGGCTATCTGAACCAGGAAGCCCAACAGAAAGGATGACAAACACAGAATTCAGTTTTTGACACATTGTACATTTTGCAGTGTTATAACTGATGATGGACAAAATCCAAATTAATAATTTAACACACTATAATGCACCATCAGAAACCTTTAAACGTCTGTAGTTTTGATTATGTTCTTTTGGGTTTGATGCCATGTAGAATCACGGAGAGATGCCTACCTTCCTATGAGTGAAGATAGTGGCAAAACCCAAAGAACATCATGATCCCAACCACCATTATAATTTTCCATCATCATGTGCTTTTGAAAAAGAATGTATGTGCAAATTCCACAGCTTACACAAGTGTCAAAATATTAAACATAGGTTACACACATTAAGTGTGTGAAGAACATGTAGATTCCGAACTTTGCATTCCCTGGTTTTTTTATTCTGGCAGTACACAGTGGTCAGCCATACTGGTTCAAGTTTATAACACATGATAAACTTAATTTATTCCCTCATGGAAGAACATACGTTTGGGTGTTTCAGTGCAGGGTGTTGAGAATATTTAGAATTTAGAGAGAACAGCTGCTGAGATGAAGTTTTTAAGAAATGTTAAAGGATGAATTAATTTGGCTAGAATAAGAAATGATGAAATGGAGAGAATTTGGGTGTATTTGCAATTAAGGCAACACTATATCACACAGAAAAAGTTGAATACAATAAAAAGGATACCAGAGGAGATGGGCAGTACATGAAGCACACATGGCATGATAAGAAATACATACACAAATTTTCAATGCACAAATGAAGGGAGAAGACCAGTTGAGACATGAGGCATTTCTGGGAGAAGAATGTTAAAAATGATTTTAAAAGAACAGGATCCAATCACAATTTTTACCATATTCGTAGGACATATTAATGTACATATTCTGTAAGAATGGTAACAGTTGCTTTAATGTGACTCTGGTTTTGAGGCTGTAAATGAAAAAAATGTTGTTGTTTTTGTTTTTTTCATTTTCAGGAGGTACACTTTTCTGCTTCGCTTCTTCATGAAAGGCAATCAAATTTTTGGAGTATTATAGGTCTAGGTCAACACTCCATAGCAAAATCAAATTCCTGCAGCATCTATACAGCTTTATATATGGAAGATGAATATTATGCAATTTAAAAAACATCAACACTCTTGCATAATACCTGTACAAGAAAAAAGTGCATAGTTCACTATCTGTGCCAAATTTCAGTACAAGCAAAATATTTTGGTAAACAGGTTTGAAATAAAAACTTGCAATACCTTTTGTCACAAAATTCATAAGAACATTACAACTCCATAAATATCTTGTGTTTCTTCTTTCACATAATTCCTTTCCATCTTCTTTCTGGTCCTGGCCTCTTACATCCTTTGTTCTGCGGCTTCAACATATTTGCTCTAAACTCTTCCAATCATATTCTAACCTGCCTCAATCCCCATACTCAGTAGTACTTATGTTCCAGCGATACCACATAACTGAATGAGATGACAGCATCCATTACACTGAACCTAAGTGTCTCCAGTCTCACAAACTATCTCTGGCATATACTCCCAGACATATGTAAATGATTCATTATAGTTGAGTTTGCCCCTGCATGCACTTCCAAGAATGATTTTTGTCAGTTTAAATCCACGAAAATAGGCTCTATACTTTCCATTACATAGCCAGGAAGAGAATTTTGATGTTGGTTGGGAGTTCTTTCTGGACCAAGAATCCGTAACATTACGTCACAACCAATGCTCTGTTCTCGACAACGTGAAAATCGGTTGCCCTCTTCGTTGCTTGCAAATCACGGCAAATTTCTTGACCATAGTACTGTTGTAACTTATAATCTAATACACCAATTTGTGCACCCATTTAGTCCATTGCAGTATTACACTTTATTTCAGTCTTGTTCCAATTCTCTTCTGAACATGTTTTCTTCTACGTACACTATGTACGTATGGTCTAGCCTACTACCTAACCATTTCACGACTGTCATCATTCAGAGCAATTAAAAAGCATACCACAGTTCAATTACATTGACAAAAATAAAAACGTTCTTCGATCGACTGGCTTTAGGACCATGCGTTTATATGGGACATTTGCCAATCATTTTCTGATAGTATCGATACCAAGATAGGAAACATACGGAAATTAATTTTCTCAACAAAATTTACGTTTTCCATACATAAAGTCCCGCTCGTATCTAAATCTGGGCGGGAACACGAAGAAATTGATTTTCTCAAAATGTGCATCTTTCACACAAAATTATGGCATGCAGCAGTGATCTACACATGAACTGCCAAAGGAAGGGGGAGTTCCCCACGCACAAAACTATATTATGTAAAAACTTAAAAAGCAACATTTTTAAAGTTTTAATGACCTGGTCTCCTAAAATGAAATTCACAACACACATTCTGAAAAACCCAAAACAGAGCTATATTAGACATTTTTAAAAACTACTTGGATTTATTAACATTCTTCCTCAGTTCCTTGATTCATCGTTTTGAAATTCTTTAATAATCTGTACAGTTTCTTTTTCCATTCAGTCAACAAGCTGAGATTTTTGGATGACTGAGGCCAGAACTGGTCAAGTTGTCTAACCACTTGACTGCTAGATGATGATGACTATGATTATGATGTGTAAAGTAGTTTGAAGGTGTTTGATTGGGTTTTAGTATGTCAAGAGAGAGAGAGAGAGATCAGTGGTGTGTGTCTGTAAGATAAGTCATAAAACAGGCTCTGAGCAAGAGTAACATGTTGGTGCAAGAATCCACATGAAGAACAGATGTAACACTTGGCTCTACTACATTGAGCTTAGCAAGGAGACAACTCCTAACCACTAAATTACCCTGACGAGGCATATAAACAATGCAACAAAAGCTAAATTTATATGGACTGATTGTTGAAAGTAAACATCAAGTTATTAACAAAAGTAATTCTACTGTGTACGTTTGAGTTGAAAATACAATACACTGTATCATACATACATTTTACAATTTGGAATCATAATAAGAATTTAAACAATAATCAAGAAGTATTTTATTTCATATGAAACCATTAGGTTGCATTATGAGTCCAAACTTCTAAAACTCTCTTAAATTTGTATGTAGATGTAATTTTGTATTGACATATGACTAAAATAAACGTTCACCCGTAAACACTAGTATACATTTTAATGAAATGTCTGCAATGTAACTGAAATTTTTAACAATCATACTCATTCTGGGACTTTTTTCTATATAGTAAACTGTATCATCATAATTTTAAATTTTAATTAACAGGGTCTCTCCTTAACATATTCGTAGAAACAGACTGAAACTTAATTACTAATGTTGTAAGAAAGGTATAACATACAGGAAGGCATGTAGGAAGGGAAACATACAGTATGCAGTTATTTCCAGCTTGTATCATGTGACAGATCCATAGTTTTAATACCCCTCTATTGAAGTGGAAACAAAATCTTCTGAATTATGCTGAGTAGAACTCTGCCCTACTATAAGCATTTTAGTGTGCAATGAAAATGAAATGCAATTTTAACCAATTTCCATTTTCAGGTATGAGCTGGGATAGCTCAGTCAGTATAGTGACTAGCTACGGGCTGGACAACCGGGGTTCGATCCCCGACGGGGGCAGAGGATTTTTCCTCTAGCCTCTGCTTTCAGACCGGCTCTGGGGCCCACCCAGCCTCCTCTACAATGGGTACCAGGGTCCTTTCTCGGGGGTAAAGTCGGCCGGGGCGTGATGCTGACCACTCACCCCCATCTAGTGTCGAGGTCAAGGAAGAGAGGAGCTATACCTCCACTCACCCCAAGCGCCTTTACGGCACATAGCTATACAAACTTTACTTACTCCATAACCAGTTAGTGCTACAAATTCTAAATATTAACTATAATTTGCACACATTTTGAGGCTCTTGTGTTATTTATGTACTAAGAATTGAATATCACTGGTGAAGAACAGTGTGATCTGTATTAATGTAGAAAATGGATTAGCAGATTGTAAAATAAAATGGAATTTTAACAAAACTGTGTTTGAACACTGCAGCAACAAATTCAAATGGCAGAGACATAACAACTGGTCAAGAATCTATCACTGTCTTATATAATGTGTAACCTTTTACATAAATCCTATGATAACATCATTGTACAATATTGTAGACATTGCATTACGTGTATATGTTCTTTTAATTAATAATTAAGTCTATATGTACAATTAGTTACTCAGATGGGTTCCATCCCAACTGACATGCTACATTGTTATTTTTTATTTATTCACAAGGGCCGCTGGCCAAATAAATACGACATCAGGGTAGGAAATTGTTGATAAGAAACAATTTTCACTGGATAAAGAAATATGTGGACCCTCGAACAGGCCTACCTGTATAGCTCAGCACAAGGCTTCCACTTCTAAGTCAAGTATCTTCTCTTCCAAAGATCTAAAATGTATTACAAGAATTGCACATCTGTATGAACAAGAACTACGTGTTAATAAGTATTGCTTTCTTTTTTAGTCAGGTAAAAACCTTTGAAAAAATATGTCTTCATGAGGCCTAAACATGCCACAATCTTACTCCACTCTCTTTTAAAAAATAAAAGACAGCATACATATAAATAATACACTGAATGGTTAATATTATGCACCCTTCTAAATTTACCTTTAAGATTTGATCACAATTATTCATTGATAGCACTTCTGAATTTTTTGCATTTGGAGGAACAAAAATAATTTCGTAACAATATTTTACGTCAATATCTAAAACTTAAAAAAAGGTCGCAACTTTAAATTTACATGTGTGTATGTGAGAATTAACTGTGAACTGTACTCAGATTACATTAGGTAGTTCACAGAAATCATAAATTATCACACTTCCAAGTACAATTATAACAGGTCTTGTTAACTTTATAAAGCACCAAAGATAAAAGCCATGTGAGCATATTGACGAAAATAAAAACTTGCTTCACAATAACTTGTTAGCCCGGAAATTATTTGGAGTCCTATTTTTATGCCCTTCAATTTGACAACAGTTGTGTATGGACACATGCTAACATCCCTTGCTTTTATGACTATCAAAGTTGCCATTCAATAAAAACTTCAGTCACTGTAAAAAATCTGACCTAAAACATATTAATATTGAATGGCATTCACACTACTATATTTATATTGCAATGCAAAATCACAGACACTGAAAGATGAGTCATCTAGAAATTGCGGAGCTGTAAGCACAGCGAGGAACAGTTTGTTCTGTTTCTTCGCATATGTACAATACTGTAGTAATAGAATATTTTGTTTCAAGTACTTCCTATAAAAAGCTCATATAAGTTTCTTTCTTCTCCTTTTTGCTGATTTCTACTAAGGAATTGGGTTGTGCTCACTTTTCACCACTTCACGCTTTTCACAACTCTGGTTTGTATAAAAGAAAGATGGAAAGATGGGGAGGACACACTCTTTTTCATTCATACCAGGGAGTATGAAATATGTATTACGCAAACAACATCATCATACCAGAACATAGAATGTTCATTTGTGGATTCTCCTATCTTAATTATTGGTATTTTGTTTGGTTTGGTGACTACCCTGTTTTTATTTTAATTATTAAATATTTTACTTTTGCTAAATATTTCAAGATGCACAATTAATCCCATTGCCACTGTGTACTGTGCTTACTGTATCCGATAGAAACACAACATTCAAGTCTTAACTTAAAAATCACTGTAGGCCTATATACTGTAGTCCATTATACCGCTGAAGAAGTTCGATGCTGAAAGCTTCCGCTCAGAAGGATTGTATGATGTATTAAGATGTAGCTTTTCTAAGGAAGGACTGTCACGAGGTGAAGCAAGTGCCGATGCTATCTTCTGTTTTGCCAAAACGTTTCCTTGGCAGTAGTGTGCAAGCATCTATATATGTTGTTCTAAGAACCTCCAAATAATACCCTGCGCACAGCATAGCAATAGAGGACAATTCTTTCTATCAATCTCAAATCTATTCTCTAATGACTCTCACAGAAATAGTCCATAATCAATTGTTTGGGACTCGAGTTTCTTTCATACACGTCACTCTTTTATTTTCATTCATATATGTAATAACTGTATGAAATGCATTGATACCATCTTGCAGATAGGAAATGTTCATTGCACACACTCTAGATAGTTATAAAATATACATGATATACCTCTCATTCTTAAACACATTCACACATACATTTTGGGTCTCCACAAATTACCTTGACGGACACAGAAGGACTAGTTATGACCACTTGAGTTTGATGGTCTCTTGAGAGTGAAAGAGATGCAGTTTTAGTCATATTTGATTAAGTATTGCCTGTGTTGCTCTGATTTTTTTCAGGAGTATTTTACAGGTACAGTTGAAGTACCAGAGGAAGGAAAAATTACATAATGTTCAACTCTTAAAACTTTGCATACCGTGTAGTGTATTAGAATATAAAATAAGCAAACAAACAACTATTAACACTATAAATGACACCAGCGGCAAAAGCGGAATTAATTCATATAATTAAAAATGGTTTTAAAAAACAAATCATGAAGTTGAGTAACACTACACTAGATGTTGGTTTCACAGGAGTTGTACTCTGCACTTAGCTGTTACTCCACTGGTCTGGTGGCCATCACTGTTCTGCGGCGAGCCGCAGTTGTGTCGAGCCGCAGTTGCGTCGTCTCTACCTGTGAACTCCAACGAATGCAACCATGGCTCTCCGCAGAACAGCCAACATCTAGTGAAACCAACATCTAGTGTAGTGTTACTCAACTTCATGATTTGTTTTTTAAAACCATTTTTAATTATATGAATTAATTCCCCTTTTGCCACTGGTGTCATTTATAGTATTAATAGTTGTTTGTTTGCTTATTTTTATATTCTAATGTTTCTACTAGAACCATTTAAAAAGTTCTGTAAGTTTTAAACAGCTGTTTCTTTTGGAACCATTTAAAAAGGTCTGTAAGGTTTATTCCCTAACAGAACATCTGGTGGCTGGCTATCAGTCAAACTGGAGCCATAAAGAATCACGAGTCATGTCTACGAGATCTCAGTCTTTGGCTTCCCACATTACTCTTTCTTCTTTTACGCTTTGTGTCCCGGCGAAAAGCTACATTTCCAGGATCGTCTGCCAGCTGAGGATATCGGTGAATGCTGTGAATGTCCACTCCCTCATAACCATCTACATCTCCGTGTAGGATCAACTCTTCTTTCTCTTCCTCGGTCCAATCCCCACGGCCACGGAACCCAGCTGCAACCAGCTGCCTCTCCAGCTCCCACGCTCGTTCCACAGCTCGTTTGTGAGCGTGCTTCAAGATGCGATGTCGCTCCTGTTCGGGATCTGCACCATAGCGAATGAAAACAGCTGCATCTGGATTGTGCAACCTCAATTCTTTTGTGCCACCTGCAACCCCATGCTCAGACGCTGTCTCATGTGCCGAGATGTTGAACATTCCGCCCAAACGCCGTAGTTCCTCCTGATCATCACGAATTTTTAAGACATTATCCTTTACAAAGTAGAACACATCTTGGTCATGGAGACTGAAGTGTAAGTCCAGGAAGTATGAATTATTGAACACAGATGTCACTACATCTTGAACAACTCCATTGACACCTTCCACCACACTGACCATGGCTCTTCCAGCCACTTGTGAGATAAGCACTCCTTCACCAAATACAGCTCTCCTGTATGCCACACGTGGAAGAAGATTTCGTGTCTTGGGTTCCATCTTCAGAAGTGGCTTTGGAACAAAGGCCAAATCGCTGAACTTTTCATTCATCTTGTCTACTATGCACTGCAGCCCCGACATAACACCAAAGTCAGGAGAAAGTTGAGGAGAAGTTACAGTGGCTTGAGGCTGGTACACCATATGTGAGGTATAAGATGATCCCAGCATGCTGCTCACATCATAACCATAGAGCTTCAGCCAACTTGGCAGATCTGCACACAGGAAAATAAAAATGACAAACTATTAAAATTAGAATGAAACCATAATTAACATCCTATCCACTGAATGCTTATCATATCTACTTCTTTTTCTGCTTTTTAAATCATTCAAACACTTGCTCAGATATAGCCAATGCTCATACCACCAACACAGCAAGAATGAAGTAAAAATGACAAACAAGTGTAAATGTTTATAATGCAATAAAGCTATATAATTTATTTTAAAAAGTAGATGACATGAATTCAACTTAGTTGTTGTGTTAGTAACATGTGTAAGTAAGTAGAAAATCAGAAGGATATGTGAACATATTAGAAACAATGCTTTACATATGATGGTGTTTCTGTAACATAACCTCAACAACAGATTAGGAGCAATTTGAGAGGTAGTTTTCATCACAGAACCCTTTCTTGCAGCCAAACTTAAGTTTAAATGCAACATTTGACATTCATAATCGATTAAAAAAATGATTTATGTGAACATGAAACCAAAATCAGCCACAAAGTTACAATACGTCATTTGAGAAAGTTTCAAACTTGAAGTATCTGGAAACAACCTTAACAAACATGAGACCTATGATAAAATCAGAACAAAATAAACCCTGAGAAGGCTTGCTAATATTAAATTAAAAATTATTATTACCTCCCACCTACTCTTCAAAATGATGAACATCAGGATATACAAAAGAATAATTTTGCATTTGTTTTGTATGGATGTGGACTTATGCTTTGAAGGAAGAACAAAAATTACAAGTGTCTAAAAACAATGGCCGGTGAAATAATTGGAAAAGAAGAAAAGTAGGATGAAGTAAGTAAAGAATATAGAAAATTATATAATGAGAAACTAAGAAGAAAAGAAGGATGAAGTAAGTAAATAATATAGAAAATTATATAATGAGAAACTCTGATAATTATACAGATCACATAGTATAGTTAAGATAATTAAATTTGGGAAGCTACAATAAGCTCAGTATTTGGGTAAGATATGGGAGACAAGGAATGAATACAGAATTTTGGTAGAGAAACCTCCTAGAAAATGTCCACTTGGAGGAGCAAAAAGGAGATGGAAAGATGATGACATTAAGATAGATCTTATGGAGAATATAAAGCATATGCACATATTTAAAAATAATACATCATCACAAACACTGACCTGTCATGTAAGTAATGTTGTGTCTGCGATTAATAGGATCATTGTTGTTAAAACGATAGATGAAAACATCTGTTGGTGTAGTAAGTTGATTGGCCAACTCCTCCCAGGCAGGTGTCATCCACTGTCCAACAACTGGATCATAGAGTCTCTTACTAAGGTACACAAGACCTGTGTTTGGGTCTAACAATCCCCCATGGAAGTCAACAGGAAGATAAAAGTCTGGATTAGAATCTTTAGTCACTTTACCAAAAGGGGTACGATGGATTTCTTTTATAATGTTACCATTGGTATCAAAGAGTGCCAGTGGAGAACCATTTGGATCTGATGCCACATAGAACCGCTGTTCAGATGTTTCCACGGTGATAAGTACGTGTCGTTCGTCATACAAAAGTCGAAATGTTCGTCCACTCTTGGGAAAGTGAACATGTGAAATGAGATCAGGAGTGCTAGGGTTGGCATAAAAATACTGCGTTACATTGCCACGTTCATCATGCCAGGATATAAGACGACCATGGTCATCATAAAAATACCAAGTTTGGAACTTGTCACGTTCAAACGCGTGGATAAGCTGAGCACGAGAATTGTAACGATATTTCTGTTCTCCTCTTCGCACTACAAAACCTCGACCATCATAGCTGTTGAACTCCACATCACCATACTGAACAACACGGTCACCACTATCATATCCCAATGAGATCTTCTCTCCTTGTTCAATAACACCAATGACATTTCCATTTTCATCATAAACATATTTCCAATTCCCATTGCCTATTACCTCCATAACATGACCATCTGCATTATAGGTTATTCGGTCTGTAGAGGACGTCCTGCCAATGGTAAGTTTCTGTGTTTTGATTCTGTTTCGCTTGTCATAATCCAGTTCAAGTCTGTAGACGTCAAATGACTTGATATTGATAAGCAAAGATTTTATGCGGCCGTGGCTGTCATAGTCTGTGATAGTGAAGAATTGTTTACTGGTGTCCTGCATCACTGAACGATTGAATGTATTGCGATAGATGCGCAGGTCACTGACGCCTTCCAGCATTCCCAAGTTCTGGTTAAATTTCAATCTTAACTGAGGTAGTTCTTTCCCATTGATCTCTACATCAATACCAGATATCCTGGCATTTCCATCGTACTGATAGCGGAAATGAGCATTATCCAGGCCACTCTTACTTCCATATTTGAGCTTCTCATCCTTGAGGATCCCAGCATGATGCTTATATTCTTGCTTCAGCTCAAAGTTTGGTTCTATGATGTCAATGCTCTTCACGAGACTTGTACTCTCCTGATATGTGTAATGGATAGAAGATAGACCGGAAAGAATTGTTTCCAGTTTTCCACTCTGATCATACACATAAGCCACTTTACCGGACTGGTGCGGATATACTTTGGCCAAGATCTGGCCATCATCGTTGTACAGTATCTCGTATGGGTGGCGATTCATTGGTGAGAAGTACTGGTACTTGAAGAACCCAAGTGATGTTTGGAGGGAGAAGGCATGGATATGGCCACGTGGAGTTGTCAGAGATTGAAGAGCTCCTGCCTCATCATACTGTAGGAGATAGTCACTTCCTCGAGGCGTTGTTACCTTCAGGGGCTGAAAATGACAAAATTATGAAACATATATTTATCATGTTACCTTTCAGGGATTTTAAAATATAACATATAACGGTTTTCATTTTGCTTTTCCGTTTGTCACATCTTTCAATTTTAAACCTTTCACAGATTTTAATATATGATATTATATGATAAGGCACAGTTCCATTGTAATCTGAACTTACAATCTGTATATACAAAGACTGGTTACAGTATTTTTATGCTACATAATTTTAAAAATACTCACCAGACTGCTGAACATATCCTTGAAGGCATAGATCATCGCTGATCCATCACCATAGTGTATCTCAGAAAGACGCCCAGCTCTATCAAATACATAGCTCTCGGTAAGGTCTCCCCATTTCCAACTTGTCAGGCGACTGAACCGATCATATTCTAACTCCACACCCGCAAAAATACCATTCCTGTAGGAAAGTTATAATGAATCAGTACTGAAATATTTTCCTTTCTGCAGAGTTAAACATGTATGATATTGAAGAACTGAAGTGTGCTTCACAATCCTTCATGAACAAGGCAAAACAAAAAATAAATGTATGGGGAAACCATGGCTGAAAATGCCTTTATGAATCTTAAAATACTATTAACAATATGACAAATTTAAAAAATGTGTCAACAGTCATGATAAATAAATACTCATCTAGCAGCTCTCATGCTTAAATCTGGACAGAAAGATAAAATCAGCCCTACACATGAATTATTTTACGCAAAAAACACATACAAAGATTAATAAATTTACTTTTCATATTTTAAGCACCAGCATTCTAGTCATAAGATACAAAATGTGATATTTACCTTGGTCCCCATTTAACAGGTCTCGCAGTTCGGTCATAAGTTACATTGAGGAGTTCGGTGATACGATCATCCATAAAAACAGCGACTGTTCCTGTCTCACGATCATATTCTGTAGTAAGCAGGTTTTCGCCATTAACCCGCAGTTTCCGCCCAACTTGAACTACAGGTTTGCCACTTCCTCTGCCACCAACAGGTTTGGCACTACCCTGGGCTCGCCGTAAGAAGTAACGCCATTCAAAACGATTAGCTAGATCCCCTCCAATCTCAGTTTTCTGCTTAGCTGGAACTGGAAAGCTCTCACCCAGCACAGGGTTAATGTCAGAGAGAACTGTATAGGGAACAGTGTCAGTACTGACAGTGTGAGACCAAGGAGACACACTGACCACACTGCCATCTGCCAGAACTAATGTTCGGTGTTCAGCTTCACCTAAAAACAGAGTTACATTTTGAATTGGCATATTGAAACCAAGACGAAGGTCCAGTACTGCTAGTATCTAATTTATAGTAATATGTCACACAGAGGAAAGGATGGCCATGGGAAGAAACTGAGGAGTAAAAGTGGGAAGACAGAGACACATGAAGATTCTTGGTTGTCAGAAAACCAGCTTCAAGTGGGAAGGTCATAGGAATAATTAGAAAATAAGACAGAAATAAACATTTATAAAACCTTATTAAATTTTTAATCCCATGAATTAAATATGGCAGTATTCAAAGTCTGAGAGGGAAAGTGAAATTACTCACCTAGCCTACTGACAACACTGGAGCCCTTGATCAGCATCGATACAGGTTTCCTGTTGTTCTGCGTAACTTTCACAGTTGCTCCTTTTACACTGAGGTCAAAAGAAAGACTTATGACTTTTCCGGTCGGTGTAATAGCAGATGTTAGGCGTCCAAATTCATCATAATTATAGACATAACTACGTCCTGTACTGTCAAGTTTGGTCTTGAGCAATCCAGTTGGACCATGGTAGTCGAAAGTGACATTGTAATTGTCGGGAGTGCTCAGTTCATGGAGCATCTTCATCCGTGACATGCGTAATCTGCATTTTTGACCCTTTGTGTTTTCAATGGAGTTCACCTGGCTGGAATAGTCCCGCAGCAGGAACACCTTGTTTCCTGCAGCATCTGTCACAGTGCTCAGCTTCCCATTGCTGGTGTTGACGTTGTAAGTAAAGTGGTAGCTTATCTTGCCTGTGAGAATGTTGCGAGTCACAATATGTTGCCCAAATCGGTTGAATACATAGATCTCTTGTGTATCTGGAGAGTATATCTCATACTCTCGGTTTGTATTTGCATCTGGTATACTGGCTGTTACTGATCGAATCCTAAAGTTTCAGAAATCAAAACCAGGATCTTATTAAAAATACAGTATTTTCAGATACGGTTTATAATGTGTGCGAGTACATGTAATGAATAGTGAAAAAGACATTTCCTGTTCGTCATGAAATTTATCATAACAACTTACACAATTAGGATAATTTATGTTGAATTATCATCACTTCTTTAAAATTGACAATGAAAATTTAGCTTTTTAAAAAATAAAACTCATCACATGCCATCAGATAAGTCTCCCTAACAGCTTACTACACTCTACTACAATATACCTGTAATTTGCCTGATCTGCAATATGTAGAATACCATCAGGTGTCACTGTAATGGAAGAGATGGTGTTGAATTTGGACGTTGAAGCTAGGAAGTGATCTTCTTCAAAACAATCACAACCACGATCCAAACAGTTGCACTTAGACTCTGCGCCAGCATAATGTGTGATTTTGCCATCTGTACCAATCACCCTCACTCTATTGATCCTCTGTGAGTCACTCTCAGCTACATACAGGTCACCAGAGGGACCAAATGCAATACTCTGTGGCATCACTAAAGTAGCGTGTGTAGCCAGTTCTATATCGTAACCACCGACAGGAGAGGGGCAGTGTAATGGGCGTCCAGCCACAACTTTGACACGACCATCAGGAGCCAGCTGCAGGATCATGTGGTCATCGATGATATGTAAAGAATTGTCTAGAGGACTAATCGCCAGTTCAGTTGGCCAACGTAAGTGAACCTAGAAACACAGATGAGTGTGTAAAGAAACAAAATTGTCTCGGTCTTTATTATTTACTTTTATGGATGACCAACATGAAAGGAACAGCATTAATTTATAAACAATATTTAGACAATATTTAATTTAAAATTTCTAATGGTAAAGTGTTAATCTCAAAAGACTTGCAACTAATTTGGTACGAATTTAGGTTCACACGGCATTAAAGACGTTGAAGTTAGTCTTTTGTGTAGTAATGCCACGTGGACTTGTAGGGAGATACCATCTGAAGAGTAAGGCAACATGCTCCTCTGAAATGTTAGAATCTACATAAAAGCCAACATGGTGCAGCATAATCTCAATTTGGTTATTTGTATGATAAAGTCTTTGTATGGACCGAATACGGACCGGAGAGCCATAGAAGAAGAAGAAGAAGAAGAAAGAAATGGTAGTACCTCTTCAACATTTAGAGTTCCTTCACAAGGAATTGGCTTCCAGTGAGACTTGTGCATGTGGTTGCCAATTACTGTAGTAACAATTCCATCACGGTCAACCATACGGATGTTGGTGCCATCAGCAAAGTACAACACATTATCGGATGAGACTGCCACTCCTGTAAAGCCACACAAAACAAAACAGTCACATCGCCTGTTAGACTCTGAACTATCCGATATCTACTGGACACTCTACAAACCTTTTGGATAAGCAAGCTTGGCATCTCTAGCAAGTGCTCCATCCCCACAGTGTGCCTCATCTCCTGGCAAGCACCTCTCGCCAGAGCCCACTGCAGTCTCCCAGTTGTGATCAGGATCCGAGTAGTCGTCCACGCTCCTCACTCGAATTATTTGATGCGATTCAGGATCTGAGATATACAGCACTCCATCCAACGGACTGAGTGACAGGTGGTACCGGTATGATACTCTTGTTGCACTGTGTGGTCATAAGAATACATTGTAATGGTGACATAAATAAATGTCAAAAACAAATCACAAACTTATCTTTTCTTTAAACTGAACAGAGATTGCAGAGGAAAGAAAGGGAGTGGTAATATATATCATGTCCCATCCATCGTAGGTTCTAGTATTGGAGTCATGATTACCAATAATAAATAGGATACTGCCCCACTTAATGGTACCTGCACCTTGTCGTGGTGGTGGGGCTTGAGTACCTCAGCGACCCCAAGAGCTATGCTGGCGGTAGCATAGCTACTGGTAGGGCCTCCCTAGACAGATTGGTCGAGGGGGAGAGGTCAGACTAAGACAGGTACCCTGGTCCTCCAGGTTGGTGGTTGGTCGCAAAGCTAACAACCTTGCACCGTAAAAAGAAAGATGTTTCGAAACCTCGATCAAAGCCTTGGACAGACGGACCTAACAGAGGACCGAATGGAAGAGGAGAATTGAGGAGGCCATGGACCGAATACGGACCGGAGAGCTATAGAAGAAGAAGAATGAATAGGATACTGAATCCAGGGAGAGTACTCCTGGAAGCGTGCCAGAGATAAGACCCCCCCACCTATAAATAATGTTTTTGTATTTTCTTTTCCTCCTACCCCTTGACAGGAACAGCACTTACTTAAGTCTCACAATGGTCCTGACTGTCCCATCTACAAGAATCCTTCGGACAAGATTGAAATCACCAACAAAGATAGAACCATCAGGAGATGCAGCAAGAGCTACTGGAGCCAAGAGTCTCTGTTTAGATGCTTGGCCATCACAGTCGAAGCACTCAAGGGGGCGCTGGTGTCCATCACCCATTGAGGTCAATATTACTCGTGGCTTATGCTTCAAGTAGATATTGGAACCATCACCCTTTTGAAGTATGCCTGCAATTAATAAAAAAACTTTAAAGAAGTGGTCCACTGATTCAAATCGGTTCTTGATTCCAAAACTTTAGAAAGCTTTTCATCATAACATGATTCAAGAAATGATATGTGTTTGAACAAATGTCATTATCAAACCTTAAATATTAAAAAATCAGTAAAGAAACTAATGGAAAACCACCTCTTTAAATTACACCCTCGATATCAATTCTTTATTCACAGTTATACCTTCATGGAAATTATATCTGTGATGAATGTCAAGATTCCATCCTCCGACTTCAGAGATGCTCATGTCATGTCCGCTGAGTTTTGTTGTCTGCACATCCCAAATTACGTCCTTGCAGTCACTGTATTCATAGCCAACCTTGACCATGGCTGTTGTTACGCCATAAACTCGTTGCCTGTAAACGTTAAGCCTATTCCAGGCATAAGTAAACTTTATGACTGGATCAGCTTCAAAGGTTTTCTCAAAGAGAATGCCCTCAATAGTGATTCGGAGATGGATGAGCTTCAGTGAGGCTGGGATTGATTCAGGTGTTAGCTGCAACTGGATGGTGGACAAGTAACCGGCAGCACGAGAGCTGTGGTACACAAGATTAAGGCCTGTACCTGGGATCTGTAAGCTTTCCTGTACAACCTGAAAGGAGAAGACATTAATTCTAATGATTATTCTGTAACTTTAATATTTTTTCTGCATATGTAATCCTCTTCTCACAATGACATCTTCTGGGGTGATCAGCTCATAATATTAATACATGTTACTTGGATAACTGTACATATACTAGTATTTTAAAACTTGTTCATCTGCTGCCATCTGTGATAAAAAAAACTTTATGGCCTGTTGGTAGAAAAAACACTTGCTGATCAAAGAATTAACAGCAATCACTTGCGAAAACCTTTATATGAAATTTATTTTGTTGAAAATACTCATCTGGATAATATTTATATTAGACATATTACAAAAACAGAAACATATAATTATTACCTGTGATTCAGCTAGAATGGCACTCTTATCTGGACAAGCTCCCTGGAAGCCATGTTTCCATGTAGCAAGCACGACTGGTTTCATGAGATCATAATCATGCGCGGCACAGGAGTGAGCTACTGCGGGAGTTGATTTCTCATCACCAATTTCCATCACAACTGTGTCAATAATCACAACCTATAGGAAAGAAAAATATGATTGTTTGCCTGACACATCACAGAAACTCTGTTAGATGTTATCACTAATATTGGCTTGAAATACATTTTGTGCCTTTCTGTGTAAGTTTCGAATCAACAAGACAAATTTTCATTTCTGGAAGTTCATGAAACAAAATTATCTGGATCAGATTTCAGTAATATGGATTATACTACTGTGTAATCTTATAGAGTAGGGCACCGCATATATGGCAGGTTAGGGACCAGACCCCCGCCGAAAAGCGGATCTTTGCCTTTTTTCAATCGCAAATGCATATAAAGTCTAATAAGATGTTTACACTATTTTATAGTAAGTGCACAATAGCGCTACGCCTAAAAATACGATATGAAAGTAAAATGAATATCAGTAGTAGCTGTAAACAGACTGAATCAGCGACGAGAAAATGGCGCCGGACGCACTTCTCTGACTCAGCTGTTGAGCGCGTGGGGCATATGCACGCAATTGAAAAGCGCCGTATTAGCAGATCGCCGAAAAGCGGGGCCCTACTGTACCAACATCCCAGAGCAACATGCTGCCTCCAACTTATACCCTGGAAATGGAGACAGCTTGGTCCTCAAAAATGTTGGTAACCACAAGAACAATCAGTGCCAGAAGCAAAAGGCTAAAAATCTTAATTCTCATCACAGTTAAGGCCTAATTTCTGACAAAATATACTTGTACACAATAGGTTACCTACTCATTAATTTTTTATTCTAATGGAACAATGTTTATTGTGCAATGTGTGTTGAAGACATTGGATCTTCAGGGAAGAAAAGAAAGTACATAAATATATTACAAAGTCATGTGTACATGTATAACCCATTCACATCCAGAATAGTCATACCTCATTCCAAGGAACATTGACAATATGAAGCTGGGGGCGGAAAGGACTGCGTCCAAACTGCAAGATGACTGCCCCTCCACCATTCACCAGGAGATCAAACCACCCATCTTCACGAGTGAGTGTGAAGCCTTCCAGAGGAGTACTTGTGCTCACCCGTACACCCATCAGTCCCATACCCATTGATGTGACGATATGACCACGCACCACTGCTGATCGGCTGTAACATACAACACGACCATTATGCCTCGAGTCTCTTGTGTCTGGTCAATAATGAATTTCTCTGTTCTACATATGTAATTTCAGCACATGCAATCGTTCAGAATGTGAGGCAATGTTCTGAGTTAGGTTAGTGCTTTATATCGAAGCTATGGATTGATCTAGAGCGGGTGTTATCAGTCTTTGAATACCTGGTGCCACATACATCTTTTCTTATCAACAAATTGGCTGCCAAGTTATAAATGAAGACAACTGATTAAAATGTTATTAAAAACTGTACCATAACTTGTAAACTTACTAAAGTGTGAATGAAGCAATAATTTAACTTATTACAACAGAACTGCCCCAATGAAATTTTCAAATATGTGAGAAATGAAGTAGACAGAGAAGCTAGCTCCTACAGTACTACCATAGTGATAATGGCACTTAGAATAAACAATATTCAATAATGCCATAGGAATTATATTCTCCTAATTTTTTTTTTGCAAATAAATCATAATGAATTCTTTCAGGCATACATTGAAGAAATATACACGAGCATTACCCTGTTAGCTTACAGAAAGATTTTTTATGCTAGAAGTGCTATTTTGATGAAAGCAAGCTACATTCCTTCACTGATGAGCAGGCTACTATTTGCTAACTTCAGCAGTCCTTTTGTTTCTATTAAGCATCTCTCAAACTGTATAGCAATTACTCCTAGACTGATAACAGGTTTGCCAAAATAAAATGCATACATACAATATACATATTTGGGGAATTTTTCAAATAAAATATAGTGAGCAACTATGAATTTTACCAAATTAAATACAGAATAATAGCGATTATTCAGGCACTTTACTAACAGTTTAAAAACTGTTTTTTTTAATTCTATGCTAAAATTGCTACTTTTGTAGCTTAAAAATATTAAGAAGTCATAAATTATATTGAAAGGAAAAAGAATTTCAAGAGTAGACAAAGAAGTGTAATGGACCACAAAACAATTCACATCACCAGATAAAGGAAGGATTTTCCAAGGCAAGAGAGACATACAAACACCACAGAAACTGTAAACAAGACGTGGACAAAAGCAAACTTAAAAATCACAAAAACACAATATTGGGTCCATAATAAGAACAAAACCATGCAACAAACAGAGATCTCAGCGTCATACAATTAGGGAGATCAAAAACAAACACAGACACGAAAACGATTTTGCCTCATTTGCAAATGAACGCTGTAAAGAAACGACAACATTCCTTATTAAAACAAAAAGTTGAGAGACTGGTGACTCTGTGAGGCAACATCGAGCACTACGCTACGTGTCCGTTTCTTGTGCGCACTGCTCTTACCTGGTGTTGAAGTGGTTCCAGAACACACTGAGCAGCAGCACCGAGAAAAACAATAGGCCCACACAGTTAACCACAGTCCAGTGAAAGACACAACACAGTCCCCCCCACTTTCCCATCCTAATCAAAGTGCTTCTCATTCGCTTAGTGACCATGCATTGTACTGAAAAAAGGGGTTGGTTAGTGAACACACAAACCAGGACTGAATTCTTAACAGAAAAGCACTGCAATCATTGCATGATGTGAGTTTCTCACGGCGGCAAGTATGAAAAAGCTGTCTTCAGGGATGTTGCACCACTTAACGCGGAAGTAGTTTAGAGACGTTTCAGAAGCCACTTCAATCATCGGGGCTATTGCCCAGAGAATGGGCGTCTCTATGTCCAGAAGAAACAGACAGTCTTTGAAATGTAGCGTCTTATAATTTTATATTTTAAATCTCAGACTATGGATAAAATACAATAAAATGCCAAACTGTGTTATAGTGCAGTTCTGTCTCACTGACATTTAGAAAAAAAAATTATTAAACGCTTGATGAGAATCAAAAAATGTGTTATTTTGTTAAGGTACGTGACTTACAGAATATCTGTACCATCAGTCCTGCTTTGTAGAAATGTTACATCGTTGAACATTTTACAATAAACATCAGCCCAATTTTTTACATGCTGTCCATTCAAATAAAGACCCTGAAGTCTTCAGGTCACGTACAGTTGTACATTGGCCCAAAACATCATCACTCATACATTTCACACACAACGCATACTTGAACACCATCATCATCTGCTTGACAAAACTCTCAAAGACACACTGAAGAAAACATGGAGGCAGGAACATATTTACAAACATGATGCACAAATTATAATGTTTAACTGTCTTTAAACTCGTATACTCCGATTTCAGGTGATGGAAAGAAAAACTTTCAACAAATTTGCAAATCAGTGACTACCAATCAGTCCTCATACAGAACAAAAATTTACAATTCATAAAGAAATGAACACAGCCTATAATCAAAGCTTTGGAAAATGCATGGAAAGTTGTTTTTGTTTCTCTCACACTTCCAGTTATCTTAAACTTTATAAAGATTTCAGTTTTGTAATCAAATGTTTGTAAATATGCACCTTATGGCCTTTCTTTCATTTTAATTGGATTTTTTCTAATAAAGGAGACATTGCAAATTGTAACGCATAAGAAGATTTAAGGCATACTAACAAATTCACAATAGTAGAGCGTAAGATTCCTGAGATTCTCCTGTGGAAAGTAATCCTATATCTATAGTACCTAATGAATGCGAACCATATGATATATGTCTACACAGACATAAACCATTACAATTCAGAATGCCTACAAGGGACAGTCATGATTTTAAAAGATTATATTAACTGATATATCTTATTTTTCTTAAATAGCAGTGTACTGCATTAGCAATCTTCCATTCAATTCGGTGGCAATCAGTTTCATTGCCACATCCACGGTCAGTCACATAATGGACAATTTTAATGCCCTGGCCAGCTACATTTTTTAGTTGCACTGGATTTTAACACTACTTCAATACAGTAAAACCCCTCAAGTTGGACACCCCTTTATATTGGACACTTTTAATTGGAACCGGCGAATATCCTATAATTTTACGTGTCCACAGTACCCTATATCTTGGACACCCCTTTATTCTGGAACTTGAACACCCCTTTTGTTGTAAGTTGGACAGGTTCATGCACTTCGATGCTTTTCAGGGAAACTTTTTCAGTTACATTTTCTTTTTGCGATGGGGAAGCGAAAATTGGTGGAATTAACTTTAGAAAATGTTATTGAGGCTGGGGTGTAATGTGCAATGCATGGGAGTGGGCTTCAAAAGATTATTATTATTAATACCATTGTCATTAATTCTTAATTCAAGTAAGCCTACAGTAGTTAGCGTATGTAAGTAAATAGATTATATTGTCATTAGACCACAATCTGATTTTTCTTTCCCTCTATCTTGGACACCTCTGTAAGTTGGACACGTTTTCGTGGAACCCCAAGTGTCCAACTTAGAGAGGTTTTACTGTAATTGGCTCAAATCATTAGCAAGATGAATCAATACAAGACAATAATGAATCATCATTGTCAAAATGAATATCTAATATATTTAATGCATATATAAGTGGAAATGATTAGGTATGAGATGAAAGGTTGGATACGAATTTACAATATGGAGTACGACAGTAATATTTTCTTCATACTGTGAAATTCTTCACTAACAGATTTCAGAATCTTCTGACATTGTGCATTAAATATTTTCATTCCTGTGAGTGCATTCACAGGCTTTTGCCCAGTGTAATTTTTTGTTTTTAATGTATTATATTTGTTTATATCATTTTTATTTTTTATTAGATGTTTTAGAACAGTGTTTTGTCATGTTGCATGATGAAAGAATCATATATTCACACACTAATAAAAATGTAGACTGAAGTTGCATTTACAGACTTCTTAAAGGTTTGCCATTCTATAACCACTTGGAAACCCTGCACTCTGGGCAACAAATATTACGCCACGTCAATCATGATAAATCAAACACACATTCATGCACAATGATTTCAGCACTTTGACTGGGAACAATATGAAAACACTGATGCTTAGGTAGTCATGGGAAATAAAGGATCTCCAATAAAACTAATGTTTCCCATGTCTATCTATTTCATCTCAGCACACGCACGCACACGCACACATACGTAAATACTAAAACTTGGGAGGGTGATATCACGTAGGGCACAACAAAGCAGATGAGAGAAATAAAGAATCAATTTTATCCTTAGAATATACCAAAGTGATAGGTTTATAGAAGAAAGGAAGTACAAAGTGTATACAAATCATCCCATCCGTTCCTTTCTTCAACGGGATACATTCAATGAGACGGGTTGCGTTTCACAAAATATCAGACAATTAAATTACTCAACTTACCTTTCGTTGAACGTTTCCTGCCGAGCATAATTTTGGAGGCTTCCCTCTTCTATAAGAAACTTCATGCGCTCAAAGAATGATGCTGTGATTGCAGGAGGCTGTTTCCTGAGAAGGATGTCAATAGGTTTGGGAGATGATACACACAACTGACTACTGCGACACAGATGATTTGAGCAGCACTCGGGATCTTCACAATCTGTCAGACCATCTGGAATACCAGCATTAAGAGTGTTAAGAGACTGACTTCGTGTGTTGTACCCTATATGCCCCTTCATAATTCTATGACGGACGTCACGATGCGCGTTACAACGGACGTACTGTGTACGGTCGTGTGGCCCCAGCCTAAAAGCGCAATGGGGAAGAGAGTGATGGATATGGAGCAATACACAGGTGGTGATATTGACAATGGATATGGTAAGAATAGTCTCAAGTAGTTCATAATGGATGAGAAATGATGGATCCGTTAGTTGATTGATATAGACGGCCCACTGTAAAAATAAGGAATATTAAAGGGAATGACCATACAACTCAAATGCATAGTTACGGAATCTCTATAATAATTTATCTGAATATGTAAAACAATTGGTTAGTAAGATAAAGACACAGGATGAAAATGTGACCATATGAGCAGCAGTCAGACGAAACACGAGCCCACCTTTATCGTTGTCTTAGATGAAAATGTGACTATATGAGCAGCAGTCAGACGGAACACGAGCCCACCTTTATCGTTGTCTTTTCCGTCATTGCAGCTCTGTTCCAGAGCAACGCTGCAGTCCCGTCCATCCCAGCCATCATAACAGCGACATTCCCAGGCCCCATCACTGCTGACTCGACACTGACCATGTCCACTGCAGCTGTTTGGGCAACCTTCCATGGTACAATGACGACCATTCCAGCCAGTCACACACAGACATGTGCCATTTTTACACTGTCCATGCTCATTACACCTGTAATTCCATGACACTCTGTAGGACACTATAACACTTATATGCAATACAAATATTACTAAAGTATGCAATTTAATTAATCTATCTTTCGTTCATGGCAAAGAATGCATTAATAGAAGTGCCACAAACTCACTTTTGTCCTGTGGTTTACAGCGGTTGAGATGGTATGACGTGGAAGATTTTCTAAGACTACAAACCACATAAAGATTTATTCCTAGGTTAGAGATTACACTTAAATACAATCTTAAAATCCTTGTTACCAAGGACAACAGTTGGTACCTTGGATCACACTGCTTCAGGGTGCAAAATTCACCAGACCATCCAGCATTGCAGACACACGAGTCACCAACACAGTGACCATGTGGCCCACAATCAAGATCACACAGCTCTGAAATGACAATATTAACAGCTTTAGCGACACATTTATATGGATAAAGAATAACGAAAATTGCTTGCAGGATTTGAGATTTCATAGTTTAATTTGCATTTAAATTAAAATCTGGCCAGCAGCCCCATAATACGGGAATTTATAACTAACTAACTAGATGGCTTACCGAACCTGAAGGTTCATTACCGAATTAACCAAAGCCCTCCACCAGACCCTGTCC